ACCCAAAGCATAAATCTACCATTGAGTCCTACACAAAGCCCCTGTGAGAAGTCAGAACACAGAATGCAATGGACAAATTAACACTGTGTTCTGTGTATTCCAGTATGTCACTGATAGACATGGAAACACCCACAGACTGTTGGTGAAAAGAAAGATTTATGAGGGAAATAAAAGGAAAAGACATGAGTTATTCATAAATTTCTATTGTTTCAATGTAGCAGGAATATGTCTGATAACGTTTGTTGTGGTTACTTTTCTAACGTTGATTTAAAAAAAAAAAAAGAATACACAACAAACAATTAGGGAAGAAAAGATTTACTTACCTTAAGATTTTGGAGGTTTCAGTCCATACATGCCTGACTCTAAGGCACAGTGACACAATGAAAAGTGCAAAACAGGGCATTGAAACAAGTGAAGAACAGCAAAAGTAGCAAGAGCAAAAGGAAGGAGAAGCTGGAAGTAAGCCTCTCTTTCTCTCCCACACTGAATTCTGCCTGCCTCGCCCAGGTGAAGGAGAGTACCAGCCACATCCATAATCCCAACATTGGCCCACGAATCAATACAAGCCCTATAAGCCTGCACCATGACTCCATATATCCTTGGGAAGCATCACCAAACAAACCAAAACAAGGCTACCTAGCAAAATCTTATAAGAGTTGCATACACCAAAACAGCATTGCCTAGCCATATTTCACAGCCCTAATGCATATTGATCAAGCACCATCATGCAAATCCTGTCTGTGCATCCAGCCCACAATAGCACCACTTGGAAAGGTTCCAGTGTACCTGCATCCAAACACCCACAGCAAAAACACTGTCAAGGTAATGATGTCCATCGAACTCACTGAAAAGTTTCACTTTGGCAACAGAGGAAAGAGCAGATTATGTGGTGAGAAGGCAATCAAGTTGGTACTCGTGAGGTTGAGTTAATCAATGAACAAATGCCTATAAATATGATTAATGTGGCTATCGTTGGCTGAAGATCTGAGTTCTGCCAAGGAAGAGTATTAGCTCCATGCTCTGCCCAAGAAGATGAGAGAGAAAAGTGCTGTCCAAGGCTACCACACAAAAATATCTGTCAGAGAGGAGGTGAGAACACAACTGAATGGATATGGTAGTCCAGCCAGTGCCACAGGCAGGGATCTCAGAAAGGCAGAGGCAACTTATAGAAAGAGGTCTAGGGCCTGGGATGCATTGCTTTGAGTCCTGGGTTCATCTATCAGATGAGAGTGCTTTTGTATAATTTTCATAGAAATTCAGCATTGACAAGATGCAGCTCTACTACTAGTCTTAGAGTCGGCACCTAGAGCTAAGGTCTGTACCCAACGCTGCTGATTGCTGCTGCTGCTGCCGCCGCCACTGATCAATGCCCACAGACTTGCTGCTTACATCCTTTGCTGGCTCCAGCTGGACAATGCCAGCCAAAGCTGTGGTTTATCAATCTCTGTGATTGGTCTTCCTTGGTTTCTGGTCTTTCAGCTCTTCTGGGATAATAGACCCAAGTAGTTATTAATTTATTTAAGTCAAACTCTCTGTCCACAGTTTTGGAGGTAATAATACTGAATATATTTGCAGGGTTGACAGGATAAGCTTTGGTTGAAGAAAACCTGTGCTGTAGCAGAACAGGTTCAGTTCAAAGAAGAAAAAAGAAAAAAGAATGAAATGATCAATCATTGTCAGACTTTACAGACCAGTGCTCCACAAAGAAATACACTGGCCTGTGATTGCTGCAAATTTAAGCCCACTGATTATTTGAAATTGAGATCTGTGTTTTGTGCAGATTTGATGCAGCTAATTGGTATGATTTCAAGTGGCCAATTTGTCCATATTCAAGTGTGTAATTAGTCTGAATTCAGGCCTGCTGAATGGTTCAAATTGGTCTACATTCAAGATACTGGCCTGAAAACATGGATTTCCCTCAATTCTGTTTTGCTGCAAAGTAGATTCCTCCTGTACTGGTACAGCCCATTGAGAGTCATTGCAACTCTCATGGTGGCCATCAAGATTAGGCACGGGGACATGCCAGAGCTAGATTGACAGCTGCCATGCACAAGAATGGCCCAACCAATGACATGCATTATACAGGGGGGCTATCTGTGTCCTCAATATATGTCAGATATAGTAAAGTAGCCTGGTCTCCTCCGTAATGCTTACACAGTAGAGGTGGTTTCCAGACACTTCTTCACAGTTGGAAGCAGCATTTGGGATGGTGGGAGCAAGAGAGTGGCACTGTCATTAACAACCCAATTGCCCCTTCTTTCTTGGTGGACCAGGTTAAAGCTATAAAATAAGCTTGGAATTGACAGTGGCACATTGACATACACAGTCTCTGTCTATCCTAGGAGCCCTGGGAGGGAGCACTTTTGAAACAAGGCAGAGTGGGAGGACCACTGTTGACCCACTCTTCTCTGGCCATCACAGGAGAAAAGGAAGAGTCAGTGACTTCTCCTTTCTCTAACTGCTTTCTGCTCCTGCACTGGGTACCTGAAGAAGGAACACTGCACATTGATCATCCAGGGAGTCTGGATAGAAGCCTGCTGAACTACAGTACCCTGCCACTGTGTATTTTGCCCCTCTGTAGGAAGGCAGGTTGGACATATTGCTGAGGATGCCCAAGTCCCACAAGAGGTGAGGTCTGCATCTCCCCCTGCCCTGTGTTGCATATTGGCCTGAGGTATTAGCCTCCCTTGCTTAACTCCACCTCTCTCCTTAGCCTCCCTGCCTTGGCTGTTTCTCCTCTGCCTTCCTCTTTGCTGACCTCTTGCATCCTCTGTGTAGAGTATCTACAAATCTACCCATGCTTGTGTCTGTCTCACTCTCTCTTTCTCTCCCACTTATTCTGTCAGTGGCAAAGTTTCTTTAACTCCTCCCTTGCCGTTACTTTTCAAATGTGGCTGGAATGTTCCTCTGGCCCCCTCTCCAATTTGTTCCTCAATTTCTTGTCTCCCTCTCTCTCTCCCCTCAGGACCAGAAATGAGCATCCTTTCAAACAGCTCATTTGGTCCACAGGTGTCAGGGGAAGCAAAGAAAGGAGAAAGAAACACACAGGCATTGTTTTAGTCAGAATCTCCAAATGGATGATCTTTCCTTACTTCAAGGCTGCCATGAAGCCCACAGCTCCGCTTCCCACAGCCAGACCCTTGATCTCTGCTGGTTGGTATAGCAGAAGTGTATGTATATATGCTCACATGCATGTGTATGGAAGCATGGGCATCTGTGAATGTGTGCAATTCTTATGTATATTCATTTGTGCTAGGAAATCCTACTATTTAGTTTGATTTGTTTTAAATCATTCACTTCTGTCTCTTTCAGAATGACATTTCAGCTCACTTATTTGTTATTCAGATATGTTTGCAAGAGAAATAATTACATTTGTTTGGGACAAAGTGGACCTGTGTGTGTGTGTGTGTGTGTGTGTGTGTGTGTGTGTGTGTGTGTAATTCTTTTACCATTTTTCCCTTTCTGTCTTCTTCTTCTAGTTTCCTTTCACAGCTCTCTATTTTTACCTTCTCACATTATTATCAGCCTATCAGTTTGTGAGTTAGCTGCATCCTTTGGTTTTAATTCATTGAGTTTTTTGTTGCTGTTTGTTTGTTTCTTTTTGTGGTACCAGGGATTGAACACAGGATCCTGAGCTTGGCAGGAAAACAGTTATTCTATTGAGCTATCTCCCCAGGCTTCACTGTATTTTATAATAATATTTTTGGGGGGCCAGGGGATATTGCTCAGTAGAATAAGTGTTTCCCTGGCAAGCATCAGGTCCTGAGTTCAATCCCTGGTTCTGCTAAAAGACAATAATAATAATAATAATAATAATAATAATAATAATTTTTAAATTATTTTATATTCCATACTGTTATTGTTTGTCTCTAAGTATTCCCCCAAAGCCTCATGCAGTCATGGGCTGGACTTCTAGAGTTTGTGATTCACTCATGATTCACTGGGATTATGAGTGATCCAAGGCTGGGATTATGGGTCTGATTGCTGCTGGCATTAAGGGTGTGAGCTCTACTCCCAGCCTGAAGCAGATACCCTTTATGTAATAAAAAAGAGACAGAGAGACAGGCTTGTCTTAATGCTACCATTGTTTTTGCTGCTACTCCCATTTGCTCTCTGCTGTTTTCTGTCACCATGAAAGTTTTCTCTCTGCCATGTGACTGTTAGCCTTTGAGCCAGCTAAGTATAGATTGAAAGCTCCAGTAACTGTGAGCTAATTTAACCTTTCCTTCCTGCACGTTGGGTGTCAGGAATTTGTTTCAGCAACAAAAGAAGAGCAACTGAGACACCTAACCGGGAATTCTTCATTGTGCATTCTGCATGTTCCTGCTCTCCTTCTACTTCTCTAACAAATCTCTATGAGAAAATAATAATAAAAGATTTAATAATAATTTGAAGATTTTGGTTCTACTTTTCCATCAGTTCCACTCCCTCTAGCACAACTTATCCATCTGTCCTTTTCTTCTAGACTGAATTCCTCTGAACTGACACAGATCATGGCTAAAGAATGTCTGCTGCTGTGCTATCTTCTGTGGACTTCACCACTGTAATGGCCTGATAGTGGTTAAACCCTAGATTCTCACTAGTTCAGGTGAGGTCAGAAGGTAAGAACACTCTGTTTCTTCCTCTCAGGTCCGTGAAACATTACTGCCACCATTCAGACCTCCATTCCATTAGGCACCAAACCTGTGCCTGGGCAGTTGTTCTCCCAGGTAACTAGGGACAGGTACACTGATATCCCTACCATGTAGCAGATATCCCAGGAATATAAGGATTTCACGACATTTTAAAATCAATAACACTTTTACACATTTGAAAAGCCAACTTTCTGTATTAATAAAATGAAGCAAGAAAGTCATATATCACCCTCATATCTTGGGAAAGAATATCCAAAGTAATCCAGTAGCTAGTGATGGTACATAAAGCTTAAGGATAGTTTTGGAAGGTGGTGTTGAATTATTGGCCTCAAGGTTATTCATCTTTATATGTTTCATATGGTTTGCCTTATCCACTTCCTGAATATGGCGAGATTGGTATAGAGGGCTGTATCTTTATTTTTCTTCTCAGGAATGACTCTCCAGGACAAAAGGCCCTGAAGAAAGCCACGGCAGACCACAGGACCTCCAGAGTCTACCTGTTTAGAGAAGAGAAGAGGAAGTTAGGGACAATGAACAGGAATCAGGAAGAAACATATAGAAAGCCAGAGCACAATCAGGTAATGACAGAGGAAGAGAGGAGAGCAAAAAACACAGTATGGGAGCAGGTTAGCCCTAAACAGAAGCAAGGGGGATAAACAAAGCAGGCCCAGAAACATGGGTAACAGAGGCAGAGGTGATGGGGAGAAAAACAGACCTGGTAATCCCTGAAGACAATGAAGGCACAGAGACCTGAAGCTGAACCGCAGGGCTACATCCTTAATCCTCAAGTCATCAAACCATATCACTGTAGGTAGGCATCCTACACCATCCTAGACAGTCCAGCCTCTGAAACGCCAGCTCTTTCCCTCCCAGGCCTTGAAAAAGTCCTCTTAAAAACTGCACATCAGCCTAAATCTCCTTTTCCAGTCCTCTAGAGAGACTAGGAGGGGATTTGGGCCAGGGAGACACTGGAGTTAAAGATGGAGGTCTGCTTGGCAATAGGGCTGGGGATCCTGAATGTAGCCACCACTCTGTTTTGACAGAAACCTGCTGTCACTCCTGGATATTTCTCTCAATCTCCTGTCTCTCAGTACCAGGGCTCTGTGTGTTTTTGCAGCCTTCTTACTTCTCTCTGGCTCTCCTTGCCTTTCTCTTTGGCTTCTTTACCCTGTAGCTCAGCTTTCCTTCTCACCCTCCTTCTTTATTTTCTGTTTCTCCTTGCACCCACATCTTCTTATGGAACTATATCTTCATGGACCTTGGAGGTCTGAGAGTTTCCTTAATTCCCTAATGACCTTATGTCCTCTGTGGGTTTTACATCCTTCTAAATTCTAAACACTTGCCCCCTGTTGTAGGCTCTAACCTTGTCAAAGTACTTGTTGTTGAGACCAGAAGCACAGAACATATTGTGGTAATGGTAGGCATTCACTGGTCTGCAGGTGTTTAGAGATCGCACTTGAACATCCACACACTGCTGATTGTCAGGGTGTAGGCCTGCAAGAAAGGACACAGTGTCAGAAACACTCCTGGAGCTGTTCACCACTGTCGGTGGGAATGTTGATTGACACAACCACTATGGAAATCAGTGTGGACATTCCTCAAAAACTAGGACTGGAAATCCTATTCAATCCAACTACTCCTTTTCTGGGTATTTTCTCAAAAGAACTGCAAGTCTCATACCACAATGATATACCATACCAGGGTGAGCTGAGACTAAGCTTGATGGTGCATGCCTATCATCCCAGTGCTTGGAAGGATGAAAACAGGAGGATCACTACAAGTCCAATCAGTGTGATGAGACCCTGTAGACTGTGTGCTAAATAAGAAAATCTATAACATATATATTGTCGTACATTGCACTATTTATGCCTTTTTATGCTTGTTTTTGCTTTTCTTTTTAATTTTTAAAACTAAATTAAATTAAATTTAAAAAAAAAAAAAAAACACTCCTATGTGGAGATCCCAGCCATGCTGTTGCAGCTCCACCACCTGGACAAGCTTATGTAGCAAACAAGACTGGGTGTGGTGGTATTCATCTGTAATCTCAGCCCTTAGGAACTGAAAACAGGAGGATCACTACAACTCTGATCAGTATGGAGAAGCCCTGTATACCCTGTAGAAAAAAATCTGTTACATGTGTATTGTTGTATGTTATCTTGTTTCTATCTTTGTTTCTGCTGCTTGATTTTGCTTTAGTTTTTACTTTTCAAACAAGATAGTGAGGTTAAGCTGAACTGCCCATGTTGTAGGGTAACAATAAAAATAAATGAAAATTTAAAATAAACACTTCTGGGAAGAGACAGCCATAAGTATCAGTGAATCCACAGACAGGAACCCCAAAACTCACCACTCAATAGCAGACTCCAGCCTGACACCAAGCACCTGGTTCCAGACTTCGGATTAGTGGAGGCAACATTGATGGTCGAGACGGTACTTGATAGCACAGCGGGTTTACTCAACTTGATGAGCATGAGGTCATTGCCACCCCAAGGGCCAATGTATTCTGGGTGTTGCACAGAGTATCTGGCCTCAATCATCTGTACCCCTGGTTCATTAGGTTGGGAAAGTCTGTGCAGACCCAGTCCAATGGTGTAGGATCTGTGGGCGATGGGACAGTCATTACTATGCCCTCTCCAGAACGCCAAACAAACATGCAGGCCCAATTTCAATCCTAACCCCACCCCTCATTCATCCTTAACATCAGCCTTATGCCGGTGCCCATTCTCACTGTCCACCATGCTCAGATATATCCCTAGTGCCAGCCTCATTCCCTTTGGACAGCATCTAAATCCCATCCCAATCTCCACTCCCAGCTTCAGCCCACATCCCAATGACTAGGACAAGAGAAGTTCTGCCTAACGTGCGAATGTAGAAAGCCACTAATGCTAAAAAATAAAGTTGAATGATACTGTATTATAATACCTTTAAAACTAATGTAGAATATCTACCATAAGCAACTACCACAACCTGAAGGTAAGCCAGGATATGACATTGCCACTAGCGCTAACTGAACACACCCAGATCTTTTTTTTTTTCAGAACCAGCAATTAAACTTAGGCCCTTGCACTTGCCAGGGAAGTGCTTATTCTACTGAGCCATCTCCCCAGCCCCCACACCCAGATCTTTTCTGATTTCCACTGTGCAAATCTTCTTTATCACGGATATTTACATTAGCATTAATTTTTTTAAAATAGAACACTGAGATATTTATGCTGCTGAGAGAGCTTTTGTCTTGTCTCACCATATACCATGCACTGTACACACATGCATTCCTAGGTCCCCCTCCACCTGACTCTGTCCTTAATTGTCTCTCTCCACTTGACCCATACCCAATACAACCTGCTGACAAGAGGACCTTTGTACACCATCTGGCTCATCAAGACTGAACTGAGATCCAAGCCTGATTCTCTTAAGAGACCTACTCTGAACTTTCACATCTGGGTCAATCTCAGGGACATGCATGGGTTCTCTTCCCTCATGCTGGAGGCTCTGCTTGTCCTTCAGATCCACCCACAAGTGCTGAGTGTTCCTCAAGCCTGGGGAAGTGGCTGTATCTCCAACCTTCGCCAAGTCTAGGGTTTCAAATCTCAGCCCTGGACAAGTCCACCTTCTAGGGCTAAGGCCCACATGTCTCCCAGACCCTCTGTAATAATGGAACTAAATTCAGGACCAACACTCTGCTCTACCTGCTCAGTCACCAGACTGGGAATGGACTCACTGTCCTCAGAGCAATGCCCACATGGCTTCATCCAAGAGAAGACCCCAGGCCAGCCCTCTGCTCATCCCCCAATGCAGGCACCCTCCCCTGGGTTTGCTTACGGTTGCCAACACTGCGCAGCAGTTAGCACCCACTGGGGGTGCACCAGAACTCCAGAGCACACCAGAATGTTGTTGAAGAACAGAGCCGCTTGCCAGGGTTGCCAGTCTGGATAGCATGAAGAGTCTCCAGTGATGAATTTTCCAATGGGGCCAAGGTCATCTGAGAACTCACTGCTGGTTTCTTTTGAGGAAATCACATTTCCTGGGGGCAGAATCAGCACACAGTGGATCTGATAGTTGTGTGGGAGCCGGTTACAACCGGAGAGAATCCTGTAGGTGTATTGTACCTCCCATTTACTAAGGTGCAGGTTATATAAGGAGAACCAAAAATGGGCACTGCCAAGGGTCTGCCTCTGAGTCTCAAGCAGGACTCCCCTCTTGGATTTAGGTTTCATAGCTGTGCTCCACCACTCCAGTGGCATAGACATAGAACCACCACACAATCGTCTTTCCCAATGAAGGGCTGCTGTTCCAAGCAGAGAACACAGACCATCATACCTCGCATTGTTTTTGCCAAACATTCAGGGTGGACAGCAGGGCAAAGAGCAATGTCACTCTGGGGATAACTACCAGGAGATCAGAACCCAGATCTCTGCACAGTGACCTTCTCCAGGTGCTCATGTGTGGTGAACTCCATAAGGAAGTAAGCAGTGTCACACTTGTCTGCCAGCTATGGAAGAAAGCCAAGACACAATGCTGTTCTGTTGCTAATCACAGCTGACATCTGGGCACTTGTTCATGCTGAGGTAGGGAAGGATGTGCGTTTAGACTATATTATCTCGCTGCTTTCAGATATTGAGGTGGGCAAACAGTGGCACAGAAACATTAAGGACTTTACCCAGCTGAGAGGTAACAACAGCACTTGAATCTACATCCAATTATTGCCTCTCCATAGCTTCCTTTCCTAGCCTACTGCCATGCAGACCCCCGAGTTGGAATCCAGGCAGGAAAGGATTGCTATCTGCAGGTGCACACATGCTAGCCCACACCTCCAGTCTCAGATACCTGCAGCCGTTTGGATGATGTATCCCAGAAGACAAACCCACAAGGTTTGTGCGGTGGTCCCCATGTCAGCACCTGGTGGGGAAGGGATGAGGTCACTCTGGGGCCTCCTTCACACTTCCAGGATCAGCCAGAAAGGACCTATCCAGCTGGACGCTAAGGCGCTAGCTTTGGAACCATAACATAGGTCAGAAATTCTCACACATTATATTGCTGATTTATATCCTTCTGTGATTGGGCATGGATTCAGGACATCCCTAGGACATCCAGAGACTCTGAGCTCTCCCAAAAACCATTGCTGACTGTTGATAGCCTTTATGATGGGCACTACCTTGTGTACTGCAGTGTGTGCTAGTGTGTACTGCAGTCCTGTGCCAGCCACTCCCTGCCCACCCGAGTCCTATAACAGGCAAGGAAAACTCCTATTCACTGTCCAGGTCCTTACAGAAGACACTGTGATCTCTACCTGTGAGGGGAGATAAAGGAAAAGAGACTAAGGAAGGCATGGCAATGAGAGATAGAGACAGAGAGTCTGAGACTGAGGCTGAACCCTGCAACAGGGAAGATGGGCACCAGACAAAGAAGTTTCAGGGTTCTGAAGCCAAAGGATACTGAGATGGAAATACAGGGGAGAGCTTCAGGGCTCAGCCCTGTGCCCAGGCATTGCATTGAGCATGGGACAGGTGGTAACTGACTGTCACAGCCAATTCAAGTGCCAGGCCCTGGAAGTATTCCCATTCTTCAGGGGGAATGTGACGCAAACAGGCTGAGTAAGAGGTGGAGAACACTAGAAACTGTGCTCTAAAACCTCACTAAAATTCTTGATGGTGGCATGGCCTGCAATCCCACGGAACTTTGGGAAGAAGGCTCACAAACTCCAGGCTGTCCACTGAGACACAGCAATGGTCTAAGGCCAAAAGGGAGACACACACAGCAGGGCAGAGACAAAAACGATGATGGAACTCAAAAGACAGAAGGACAGAGAAAGACTGGGGTTGGGAGAACAAAGGTCGTTCACCTGGCTTCGGTTGCTTAGTCCTCGGGGCACAGCTGTCCTGCTTCTGGCTGACCTCTGTTTGTTTCTGCATGTCTAGAGCTTCCCAGGGTTTTATGAGGCTTGGAAATGCGGGCTGTCCTGCCCCGGGGCTGCCTGAAATATTAGAGCTCAAGGATATCACTTCTCTGGACCCACATCCTGTGGGTATCCTGCTTCTAATGGGATCAGGGCACAGGGAGTAGGGGTCTGGGTCCTGAGGGATGATGGAATGTGGCTCAGACCCTGAATGAAATGACTATCTTTGGGGCTCTCTGGACCTTTCTGGACACTCTTCTCTATGCCAACCAAACCTGCCAGTCTACTCTTTGCTATACACAGCCTTCTCTCATGCAGTTACTCCTTTTGATTCCTTGCGCTTGTAGCACTTGATTTATCTTAAATTAAGGAAAAGTGTATGTAATCAAGATAATCTGAGGGGGGATTGAAACCAGCATCTTCCAACTGAGCTCATAGAAATGTGTATTCTTATTTTATATTGAGTTAGAGTCTCATTAGGTTGCTACATTGTTCAGACTGGGCTCATACTTAAGAGTCATCTGCGTTGATTTACAGCAGACCTGGAGTTTCAGTCATGCAACACCACAGCCACTACATTTCTTTCTCGCAGAAAACCACCAGGCCTACTGTGCTCCCAGATCCCTCATACTGCAGCCATATCAGATGACTACGTCATGAGATCCCCAGGCAGGTTCACACTTGCCTTAGTCAGTGAGGTAGCAGATCCTTTTGCTTCTTGTCTCCATGCGTCACTTGATTTTTCCTCTATAAAAATTTCAGATATGATTAACCTCATATCTCAAAATTTTCCTCTTTCATGTCATTGTTCTGCTTGTTCTGACCTATCTACTATGTATAACAAAGACGTGGCCATCAAGGAATGGAGCTGCCCATCACCTCTCAGGATGTCCTGTAGACTCACCAATCATTTCCTCCTAGCAACCGCTGACCTGTTTACATCCCCCATCACTGGTTTTCTTTTTTCTTTTTTTTTTTTCTTGCAGAACTTGGGATTGAACTCAGGCCCTTGCGCTTGCCAGGGAAGCACTTATTCCACTGAGCCAACTTCCCAGCCCCACCATCACTGGTTTTCTTCAGAATCATTGAAATGGAATCCTGCAGTGCATCACATAGGTATCCTGCCCTGGACTCCCACCCTGTTTGTGTACCGTGCCTCATCAACTTTCTACACCAAGAGGACTCCATGGTTTGCATGAACATGTTTATCTACCCACTGCCCAGATTTTGTATTACTTAACCTCACTTGACCCCAGTTCCAAGTCCTGTGGTCCCTTTTTAACTTATAGTATGCCCAGCATGTGAATCCCACCCATGGGCCAGCAAATTTATTGCAAAGGTCCAGAGGCAATTATGATGGGCTTGTGGACAGACACTGTGTGCTGCACTTACACAATTCTGCTGCCTTTGCAAGAAGACAGCTAAACCAGAGTATGCCACTACACTGCATGAAAATGTGATTGACAGGGCTGGGAATATACCCCAGCAATTCAGCACTTGCGCTGAAAGTGTGAGATGGTGAGTTCAATTTCCAGGACCAAGATAAAGCAAAACAAAACAAAAATAAGCAAGCCCTGACTTATACAGAGCACATGGATCAAGCATGGGAATATCATCACCTTGCTTGATCAAATGCAAGTAGAACCACAGAGTCTAAGAATGCATGGCCAACTCCATAGAAGAGTACAGCAGTTGCAACTCCTGCCAATGGGCCTCATCTCAGGAAATATGCAGCTCCAAATCTGAAGTCAGAAGGTAATAGCTGTGGTCTGCAGGATGGGCATAGATCATCTTTTGGTGGACACCAGGGACTGGACATCAGGAACTCTGTTATGAGTATTTCTTTGGAGACATCATCTGGATGGCTATGAGAAGTCATTGAGAGCACGACTGTTGGATGTGGTGTGTCCCCAGGAGTCTTGCATTGGATCCTCGGTCTAAGCATGTTTAAATTAACAGCTGGTGGGAACTTTAAAAGGAAAACCCAGTGCAAGACCACAGTGAAGATTCCCTGGGGGATTAAACTGGTTCTCACCAGACTCAGTCCGCTAGGTCTACAAGTGGATTCTTATGAGATACAGACTTCTGCTGGGCCTCATGGTCCATGCCTGTAAATAACAACATTCTAGCAGGCTGAGGCAGGAAGACTGCAAGTGGAAGCCCAGCCTAGGAAGCTTAGTGCCTCAACAAGACCCTGTCTCAATGGAAAAAAATAAGCATGGGGCATGAGACTCAATGTGAAGAGCCCGGATTCCACCACTAATACTGTAGAAACAAACAAACAAAATCAAGTCTTCTTGCCTTCTTCTTCAGGTCTTACCACATGGTCCCTCTAACATGCACACTGACAGTGAGCTAAATAAACCTTTGTCTTCACAATTCATTCAGCCTTAGATATTTTATGACAGAATTGGAAGACAGTATAATACAAGTGCTGCCTATCCTACCTCTTTTCTCCCCTGAGCCTCCCTGTGTGAATCTGGAAGGACATGTGGCTTCCACATGTCCAAGGTGTGTCATTGTTCCATGGAAGCAATCAGGCTGCCTGTCTTTTCCTCAGAGCATGGGCTGCCACAGATGCAAAGAAGTGGGGCTCTTTGTGGCCCTTTATGTATCCTCTAGGGAAGAGGAGACCATTGAGAGAAAGGTCTGGAGCCAAGGGAGTGACCAGGATCCCATCAACCAAGTGAACTTATGTGACCCTAGTGTGTGGTCCATCCACTTGCTGGACAAGAGCAATTCATATTCCCATGGATTCTATGAACATGTAGCAGCTAATTGTTATGCTCATCATTAAATAGGTAAAGGCAATACAAAAAGGTACATCTGCTCAATAACTGTACATTTATTTTTATACCAAACATTTTGACTACAATTGCAAATATTTGCTTTAAGTATAATTGCATACACTTTGCTTAAATACAAAATTGTAGTACTGTGGGAAGCCATTAAGTGGTATCCATTTTTTAAGTGTTAGACGTTTTCTTACGTTTCTATTCCCCTGATGAGTTAAGTTTATGGTCCTTCTCACCTTGCCCATTCCTCGTGAATCACGTTCCATACCCCAGGAGTGGCACTTTCACCCGTTGCCTAAATACCTGCTGAACACCTAGAGCTGAGACTTCCTCATTCCTACACCCCCTATATATACACAGCACCTCCCCTGAATAAATGAGACTTGATCAGAATCCTGTCTTGTCTCCATTCTTTGCGTCTCCTATCCCTTCTGATCCCCTCTCCCCTTCTAGGGTCCTCGTTGACTAACCTGTGGGTCGGGACAAGTGGCATCCACTGTGGATCGAGAACGGGAAATTTCGTGAG